CCCCCCCCCCCGGCACACACACACACACACACACACACACACACACACTCTTTACTCCGACTCTCGCAATTAAGCACGCACACCCGCACACACCCACACACATGCACACACACACATACACACACACACATACACACACACACAAACACACAAGCACACACATGTACACACACATGCACAAAAAAATACTAGAATAATAATAATAATGTGAGGATTGAGCCCTCAAGTAGGGGCCTTGCCATGATGTACATGTTCTCGGCTAAGGCCCCAACAAGCCTCGTGCCTGCCCTAAGTGAAGGCGGGCCAGCAAATCAATAAGAGCCCTCTGTGCCAACATTTCACGAAGTGGGGTCCATACAATTGCAGCACGCCAATTGGTTGGAGTGCACCGAGTCTCGGATTTCAGCAAATGTTGAAAGCCCAGGGCCTCTTCGTTAGTTAGGCCCTGGGCACTCGAATGTGAGGCCGACAATGCATGCTGGGTATAGAGGCCGAAAATGCCAAAGGGAAGTCGGCCCACTATCTGAATCTGGCCGCAGGCCTTCATGAAGGAGGTGCAACTGCATTGCCCCGGGGCCCAACTGTATCGGGCTGGGTTCAGCCTCTGGGTCCCGGTCACAGGCTGAAGGGAGGCCGCCCACACGCTGCACTGGCATATAGGCAAGCAGGGCGAGTGGGCAGGAAGGTTGGCCATTGCGAGCAAGGCCGGCACGCTGCTGCGTTGCATGCATGCTGCGCTGCGCTCAGGCTGAGGGACGCAGGCTAGCGCTAGGCGGTAGGGCGCTGCCTGCATACAGGGCGCTTGGCGGCCATAGCCGGGCTGCAGAGGGCGCAGAGGGGTGAAGGGCGAAGGTGGTTCTTCGGAGGTGAAGGGCGCCGTGTGGGTAACAGGGAAGAGTGTTGGTGAAGAGGACACGTACCTGGTGGAGGTGGAGGTCGGCATTGGTGTTGACATCATCACTCGCTGGTAGTCAAGTTGTCTGGTTGCTTTCATTGTTGTAGTTGTAGGCTAGGCTGTAGAGTAGATAGGGCGCCTGACACCATTCACGAGAGAGAGCTACATTTGGGTTATGTTGTTGGTGTTGCCCTGTTGGGCATGGACATTGACTCACGATTCTTCTATATCATTCTCAATGGATGGTTACTCGGTTCCATTGTGCTATCTGCTTTGGCTTGGTCTACTTGGACTTCAGTGTGATTTTGCATTCTGGATTTCTGTGCTTCGTCCATATTCATGTTCCTTGCAATTTGGTATCGGAGCTGGTTTGATCGCCACTTACCTCTGGCATGCTGGCGTTATACAGACTTTGTGCGTTGACGATGCTTCTTCGCGGTTGGTACTTGTGACGTCAGGCCATTGATTGGTGCACGCCCTAGGTAGAGAGGGGTGCGCCAGAAGGCTACAGACGACATTATTAGCCGTGGTGACAGGCGGAATGTATGATTGGTGATGAGAGCATGCTGATGTGGCATTGGACTAAGGTGGCATTGCATTGCGTTGTGGGTGGTACCGAAGTAATGACCGGTCATCAAATGCACATTCAGCTCAATTGGTGAGAAATCTGTGGTTGGGGGCAGCTATCGCCAGGTACGTTGTTCCCTTACCTTATCTACTCTCTCAATCTCTTCTTACCGTGAGGAAGTGAGTCCAACTTGAGAGTCCTCTCTTTTGGTGAGGTGTCGTGAGCGCGCTACCTTGAGAGACGACAATCTTCCCGGAAGCATACTGGAAGGAGAAAGGGTGGTGCCTCTGAAGGGCCCTGATCGAAGCACTGGGTCACGGTCACCATGCCAACCCAATGGGAGTAGGTCACGCATGTGATGGCTGCTGTCCATTAAGGCACTTTGCTGCGCCAAATAGAAGTCTTGCCAAGTGTGCCTGCCTTGTATGAGACGCTTACCAAACCGTCTATAAACATTTCTGGTTGGGTACTCGGAGTGATTCTGGTTGTGATCGTCGTCCTGACTGCGACGTTAAATAATTCCTGAAGAGATGGGGGCGCTCTTAATAATCCTCCTGATCAGCCAGATCATCCGGGTGGAAGGCTCGTTTCCGTACGAGGGTAAATAAGAGTGGGCTGACTGGCTTACTTGGCTTTGACTTGGGCACAGGGGTGGGCCGAGATACACACGAACACACTGCTCTGCTCAATGATGCTGTTCGGTATGTTGGATGGAGGGGAGGGTAGGTTCCAATTGGTGCTCAACTGAATGCACAACTATACCCACTCATCATAAATCTACTACATTGTCTTTTTGTATCTTTGATTAGTTGGTTGACGGACTGCTCACCTCACAGATGGATTAGTGTAGGAGTGTTGTATGCTACCATAGCCAGTTCTAACTAATGCTGCTGTATAACTTATCAGGATACAGCTAGACTATGTAGACAATCTGATGTGAATGTTGTAGACATGCCACTTGATTCGGTATAGTAGGAACTCGTCGGACACAACTATTTATAGAAAATTACAGGCCGGTCAGATACATGCTGCGGTAGGATTCCATTAGGGGATTCTAGTGTAGACACTATCTGTCTAACTAATGAGCGGGTCAGACACTGTTGATCATAGAGTGGACGAAAGGAGACTAACACGTGCACGGGCACTAAGGGTACCGCACGTGTTCCAGGCCTTACAACCGGGAGACGAAGCACGGCTTCGGGCCGAACGTAGAGCCCGTGCTCTAGCAGCAGGACTACAGGAAGCAAGCAGAGCAGCAAGAGAGCAGGCAACAGCAGCTTGAGCAGCTGCGATGGCTAACAGCGCAAGCATTGCTGCGTCATCCTCTGCGTCCTCGTCAAGGACTAATGGGAGCCAGTTGGGAATGCCAACAAGTTTCACAAGTTCCTCGGGCACTTCCGGTTCCACAGGTTCTAGACAGTCTTCTAGTCAAATGGCGGGCGCGCAGTTCAGCCTGTTGACCCCGCGTGAGAGGGAGCTCAGAGAGATCCAGCAGGTCGAGATGCTTCGCCGTAAGTTAGAGCAGGACCTGAAAGATGCGACCGATAGAGAAAATGCGATGAAAACTAGAGCAGCCAGGCTTGAAACTTTAGAGGCTGACAAGGCTGAATTAGAGGGCTTGGATGAGTCAGCATTGACTGGCCCGCTGAAAGTATTGAAGAAGAATATGCTGTCACTACACGCACACGTGGACAACAAGTTATACTTCATGCAGAGCACTCTAAACCAGATCCTGGATGCTTTGACAAGGCCAAGATTTCGGCCACCAGCACAATCGCCGTTGCCGTTATCGGCGATGTCAGGCCCCTTTCCGGTTAAGCTGGCACACAGCCAAGTGGCACATCTGCAGCAGCCGCACAGACTGTTGCATCTTCTTCTTCGGGTCCAGCGGTGGTTGCTACACCACCGCAACAGGTTAGTCCTCAACAAGGAGAACCGCAAGGTCATTGGTACCCTAAGACCCCGATGAAACCGCCTCTTCCCTTCTCAGGGGAAAGAAAGGACGAAGAACTCAACACTTGGTTGAGAACGGTCCCGGTTTGGGTGAAGGCCAAGAGAACCTTGCTAGAGGACGAAGTGGTAACTGCGGCATCTTACCTGGAGGGTAAGGCAACCAAATGGTTAAATGGTGTAATTATAAAGGCCGGGTATGGGAGACGCATGGCGGACTGGGCTAAGTCTCTGACGTCAGACCAATTTATGGAAATGGTAGAAGCTCGATGGCATAACCCATAGGAGGCACAAAGGCCCACTGATGCCATTAACAAACTAGACCAACGAAAGTTGAAGTCGGTTAGAGAGCTTACGACCACCGTTGAGAGCCTGATCCTCGTCCCAGGCATTAACTACAGCGACCAGTTCCTCTTGACGACATTTGCCAGATGTGTTCCAGAGAACATCAGGAACTTACTAGCCAGTGAGGCACGCACCGAGTACCACTCGTTTGAAACATTGTCTAGGAAAGCCTTAGACTTGGAAGCCACTCTAGGCAATGCTCAACCCACCTCTGGGAACGACTCAAAGAAGAAGAAGAGTCCTCAGGAATGGAAGAAGAAGGGGGCTAAGTTGATGATGAGTCAGATGGGACTCAAACTGAGATCGATGAGCTCTCTGACCTGATGGACTACTCAGAGTATGACGGCGAGGAGGTAGCTGAGGGTAGCACCATCGCCGCAGTAGTTAAGACTAAGCTGGCAGGCCGAGGGAAGGGCCAGCCTAGGGGTCAAGGGAAGGCCGCCTCCAATCAGACCAAGCAGGCTGAGTGGGTAAAGGCAGGTCTTGATTAAGACGTGTGGCGTGACCGCCGAACGCGTGGTGCTTGTATCAAATGCGGGGAGTACAGACACTCGCAGTACAAGTGCCAGAACGCTAAGGTTACGCAGAAGGTAGCTCCAAAGATGGGGGCAACCTACTCCCAGGCTTCTAGCTCGGGAAACGCGTAGGGCTCGTGGAAGTACTAGCCGCTTCGACTCGAGATGAAGTGGGATTGATACCCTCCCCACTTCATGACAAGGCCAAGGCTAATGACCCTTTAGTCACCTCGCAGACACAACTAGACCAAACTATGCTCTATACGTTAGATGTGTCTGAAGCCTTAGAAGACTTGGAGAGTGAGTGGTCAAACAAGGACCCTCGCAAGTCTTGGGTGGCGCTGAGGAAAGGTCCTTGAGGGGAACATTTCGTGGTGGAGGTCGATGCAGGAGGACGCACATGTGGTGCCTTCATAGACATAGGCTCCACGCGGAATTACATAAGTCGCGACTGTTTGGAAAGGCTGCACCTACAGGACCGGGTACGGCACCTTAGTAGACCAGTAGCATCTACTTTGGCCAAGAAGGAGCGCATGATTGTAGCAGACTACATCAAGGACGTAGTCTGTACCTTCTCCTATGGAGGAGGTGAGCTTAACCATAAGATCTCGTTCTTGGTTAGCGACGACTTGCCATTTGACATGTTATTAGGCATGTACTACCTCGAAGTTGCTAAGCCCCAGTTCGACAGGGATAAGAAGGTGCTCAAGCATAAGTTGCCCGATGGCCGAACTGTCAGATTGACTAAGTTCAAGGCCAGTAGTATTATAGATACCTATGGCTGCTTGTGTGCATAAGCGTTCTACAATTACTACAAGCAAAACCAAGAGGAGGGTATGTACCTTGTGTATGTCTCTGAGAAAGGGGAGGCCGTTAAAACACCCCCAGAGATAGAACGTGTCGTTGCTAAGTTCCCAGATCTGTTCGAGGAGCCCACAGGAGTTGTTGAAAGGGAAGTCGTCCACGCTATAGAAATCGTTCCAGGGAGTAAAACCCCAAAGGGAAGGATGTATAGGATGGCCCCCGCTGAGTTAGATGAACTTTAGCGACAACTGAAGGAACTGACAGAGAAGGGTTGGATTCGGCCTAGTACTTCCCCTTACGGATCACCCGTGCTATTCGTACCAAAGAAGGGGGGTACTTTGAGGATGTGCATTGACTATAGAGGCCTCAATGCCATCACATTGAACAACGAGAGCCTCTACCTCGCATAGACGACCTATTGGATAGGGTGCAGGGATGCAAGTACTATAGTAAGATAGACTTGAAATCCGGATATCATTAGATCACAATAAGACCTGAGGACCAACACAAGACAACCTTTCAGACCAGATACGGTCTGTATGAGTTTGTAGTGATGCCCTTTGGTCTTTGCAATGCGCCGGGTACATTCCAGCACACTATGAATCGGATCTTCCATGACCATTTAGATAAGTTTGTCGTGGTCTACTTAGACGACATTCTGATCTTTAGTAAGTCTGCCGAGGAGCACGCACAACATGTTGAGAACGTACTTTCACTCCTGCGACAGCACAAGTATAAGGTCAACTTAGAGAAGTGCGAGTTTGGTCGCACTAAGATACTATACTTGGGTCATGAAGTATCCGCGGAGGGAATTAGGCCGGAAGATGCGAAGGTGGCTAGTATTCGAGACTTGCCACGRCCTYAGACAGTCACTGAGGTCAGATCATTCTTCGGAATGTGGGGCTACTATAGGAACTTCGTAAAGAACTATTCTACAGTCGCCTCTCCTTTGACTGATCTAACTCGACTTGACACACCGTGGGGCTGGAGTGATGATTGTGAGGATGCTTTCAAGAGATTGAAGCATGCACTCATGAATCATGAGGTTCTCATGGTTCCCGATCCGCCGAAGCCATTCATAGTGACCACCGACGCAAGCCAATACGGCATTGGCGCAATGCTGGCTCAGCAAGATGGGAAAAAGTTGAGACCGATTGAGTATATGAGCAAGMAGATGCCATCAAAGAAGTTGGCAAAGTCCACCTACGAGAGGGAACTCTATGCTCTGTATAAAGCACTTGTCCATTGGGACACTTCCTTTTAGGAAGGTTCTTCTACTTGAGGACTCATCATCAGACCCTCAAATGGATCAGGACTCAACCGGCTCTTTCTGACGCTCTCAAGCGATGGATTGAGGTCATACATCAATATGACTTCAAGCTTGAGTACCTGAAGGGAGAGTATAACAAGGTTGCTGATGCGCTATCACGTAAACCAGACTACCTAGGTGCGCTAGTTTCTGACTTTGGCGTTTGTGAAGAAGTAACTCAATCATTGGTGGGAGCCTATCAGGAAGACCCTGTCACGACGGACATCATTCGCAAGCTTCAGGCAAAAGACAAGGCCACAGAAAGTGAGTTTGTGATGGTGGACGGGTTACTCTATCTTGATAAGGCAGGAATAAAAAGGTTAGTAGTTCCATCTAGTGAACCCTAGCGTAGTTTATTTTTAGGCGAATGTCATGACGCAACTGGGCACTTTGGCTACAAAAAGACGAGTGCTAACTTAGTACAACGATTTTGGTGGCCTGGTATGTTTGATGAAACAAAGAAGCACGTAGAGACCTGTCAGGTCCGTCAGCGGCATAAGCCGCGAACTCAAGCACCGCTTGGGTTGTTGAAGCCTTTGCCTATTCCTGCTGGTCCAGGACAGAGTGTCTCCATGGATTTCATGGACACCCTGGTGACTAGTAAGAGTGGCAAGAGGCACATCTTTGTTATCATCGACCGATTCACCAAGTACGCTAGACTAGTGGCTATGCCAGAGACCGCAAGAACTGACTTCGTCATCAAGTTGTTCAAAGACAACTGGGTGCGTGACTTTGGTTTACCAAAGTCAATCGTTAGTGACCGAGATGTCCGATTCACAAGTGAACTGTGGAAGAAGACCGCAGAACAGATGGGCAGTCAACTTCAAATGACTTCAGGGAATCATCCTGAAGCCAACGGACAAGCCGAACAAATGAAGAGAGTTGTACAGCGCTTGCTGCGACATTATATCAAGCCCAGTCAAGATGATTGGGATAAGCAATTGCCTCTCATCGCCAGCTTGTACAACAATGCTATCCATAGTAGTACCAGCGTTAATCCTCATCAGTTGCACTTGGGATGGAAGCCTAGATCAGCACTAGACTTCCTCCTACCCGAAAACCGACCCGCTGCAATTCCAAGCACACTAGAGTATGGTGTGCAGTATGAGAAGTTGCTGCAAGAGGCTGTCAAGCATATGAAGAAAGCTCAGCAAGCAATGATTGCTTTTGAGAATCAATATCGCAGACAGTTCACATTTCAAGTAGGGGAACGAGTCTGGGTCAAGGCTAGTGAGTTAGGACAGGAGTTCAGAATCTCTCGCAAACTAATGCCTCAGTACTTTGGTCCCTGGGAAGTCCTGGATATAGTGGGAGATGAGATGGATGGTCCCACATATGTCATTCGTGTCCTTGGACACCTACGCACTCACCCAGTCTTTCATGCCTCAAAGCTTGCACCTTTCGCTGAGACAKATCAATTYCCTTCCAGGAGATCGATGCTGCCCCCAACCATGGATGGACACGTGGACATCGACGACATTGTGGATCACAGGGATATGCCTGTTCCGAAGCCGCTGGGTCGAGGAAGACCTCCTAAGCCCAAGAGAGAGTACCGCGTCAAGATTCAGGCATCATACGGATCCGAAAGAAGATCGATGGTTTACCAGGGAGGAACTGATTGAGACAGCTCCTTAGGTGGTGCCAGCATATGAGAGGCTACTGAAAGGGAAGGCACCTGCGAAGTAAGCATCTCAGCGGACTTTCGAAGCTAAGGGGGATGGAATGTGAGGATTGAGCCCTCAAGTAGGGGCCTTGCCATAATGTACATGTTCTGGGCTAAGGCCCCAACAAGCCTCGTGCCCGCCCTAAGTGAAGGCGGGCCAGCAAATCAACAAGAGCCCTCTGTGCCAACATTTCACGAAGTGGGGTCCATACAGTTGCAGCACGCCATTTGGTTGGAGTGCACCGAGTCTCGAATTTCAGCAAATGCTGAAAGCCTAGGGCCTCTTCGTTAGTTAGGCCCTGGGCACTCGAATGTGAGGCCGACAATGCATGCTGGGTATAGAGGCCGAAAATGCCAAAGGGAAATCGGCCCACTACCTGAATCTGGCCGCAGGCCTTGATGAAGGAGGCGCAACTGCATTGCCCCGGGGCCCAACTGTATCGGGTTGGGATCAGCCTCAGGGTCCCGGTCACAGGCTGAAGGGAGGCCGCCCACACGCTGGACTGGCATATAGGCAAGCAGGGCGAGTGGGCAGGGAGGTTGGCAATTGCCAGCAAGGCCGGCACGCTGCTGCGTTGCATCCATGCTGCACTGCGCGGCCAGCAAGTCCGTCACGCTGCTGCGTTGCATCCATGCTGCACTGCGCTAAGGCTAAGGGACGTAGGCTAGCGCTAGGCGGTAGGGCGCTGCCTGCATACAGGGCGCTTGGCGGCCATAGCCGGGCTGCAGAGGGCGCATATGGGTGAAGGGCGAAGGTGGTTCTTCAGAGGTGAAGGGCGCTGTGTGGGTAACAGGGAAGAGTGTGGGTGAAGAGGACACGTACCTGGTGGAGGTGGAGGTCGGCATTGGTGTTGACATCATCACTCGCTGGTAGTCAAGTTGTCGGGTTGCTTTCATTGTTGTAGTTGTAGGCTAGGCTGTAGAGTAGATAGGTCGTCTGGCGCCATTCACAAGAGAGAGCTACATTTGGGTTATGCTGTTGGTGTTGCCCTGTTGGGCATGGACATTGACTTACGATTCTTCTGTATCATTCTCAATTGGATGGTTACCCGGTTCCATTGTGCTATCTGCTTTGGCTTGGTCTACTTGGACTTCAGTGTGATTTTGCATTCTGGATTTTTGTGCTTCGTCCATATTCATGTTCCTTGCAATAATAGCAATAATAACAATAATAACACACACCAGGGTAACCGGCGTTCGGGATGGGCCGAACGCCCGAACGTACGGGACCCCTTCGGAAGGCGTTCGGCCGTTCGGACCGAACCCGGACCAAAAAAAAAGAAAAGAAAAAAAAAAAGTTTTCAAAAAATTCCAAAACAAAATATGTTATGGAAAAAACTAAACTAAACAACATTTGCCTGGGCACTACATCCAAATTCTTTACCAAATTTGAATTAAAAATCAAATACATAAAATAAACACTATGATAAAAATAAGAAAAAATAAAAAGAGAATTAAAATGAGCGAGTGTGTCAGCACCTTTTCGTCACCGCCATCTTTGCCGATTCTTAATTATTTTTTGGCATTGACAAATTCCCTGAAACTTTCCAGATATGTAGTTTACATACTTAATAACTCGTTAAAAAGTTTTCAAAAAATATTAATTTTTTTTAGGCCCCGAAATAAAGTGAAAACAAAGAGTTAAAAGTGAAAAAAAACAAAATAGTGAGTGGGCGAGCACGTTTTGACACCCCGATCGTTGACGATTTTTAATGTTTTTTTGGTTTATCAGAATGACTTCAAAATTTATCGGCGTGTAGGTTACATCATAGAAAACTCACAAAAAAAAATTCAGAAAATAAAACTAATTTGTAGGCCCCAAAAGTTATTTTGGCGGGGGCCAAACCTGGAGGTGTTCGGCCCCTGAATGGGACCCCGAACGCCCGAACGTTCGGGGGCCAGCCCGGGGGCCCCCGAACGTTCGGTCAGGTAACCCTGACACACACATTATTTTTTTATAAATAATAAATAATTAACAAAATAATAAAATAACAATTAAATAATATATAGAACTATAATAAGTAATATATATATATCTATTTGACGATATATATACTTCTGTTTGTGACGATATATATACTAAAATTAATAATAAATTAAAAATATTAATAAAGAGGAAGCACAAAATACATGTACATACCCACCAGTAAACTCGCACGTAAGTACTACAACGGTAACACCTCCCTCTGACCGCAGCAAGACAAATATAGCCAATATCTCTAACTACAGAACATTCACACACAATATATAAACAGATAACCCAGACATGCAAGAAACAGTTATGGGTCTCCTGCATGACCGGCTCAAAAAAATCAAAACAGACCCTCCACACCGCACAAGCATGCGGACCAGTAAAGATACAGCTCCAGGCCCCTGCTGAATTACACACTAAAACAAAAAGACGCACCGGTTCAACAATGATACGACAAAAACGATACGACAACAATTTTTTAATATAAAAAGCAAATTTAAATGTTAAAATATGAAGAGCTGCCCGCCCGAGATCTAGAACTGAACAAACAGACAAAACTAAAATGACACATCCTCCTCCATAACCTCACCACCATCCCACACGACAAAGACTTCCCGAGCTACGCCATCTCGGGCAGATGACAAACGTGCTGTCCTCGGCAATACGGACAAACTCAGAAGCTTCGAGCCATGGCTCATACAGACACTACGTAAAACAAAAACAAGTAAGCAGACTCCAAAAATCCGTCGACGCATAACATAGCCCGCACATAGATGCATAGCAGACAAACCCTGCACCCCTGCAGCCGCTACCCCTGCCACTCACCAGCAGATACACACCCACCCTCACTCTTACTGAACCTACACCCAAGAAAGAAGCCCTGCCGGCTCGTACGCATGCACCCCCCAAGCCCTACGCAAATTGCAAGCTTCCATTCATCATCGCACACACACACCTGCCCAACGCTGCCTGCTATGCTCAGATACACATTTGCAACACATCGCGCGGGCATGACCATAGCTCTGGCAGCGCACCACACGCCACACTTCGTATAGAAATACTACCTACACAAGCTCCCCATCTCCCGGAAAGACGAGTAGCTCCTCAAGCTCGTCCGTACAACAAGACACTACCTCTTCCTAACCTGGCATTACCAGGCTCCTAACGCACGACTCAGAAGCATCTGCTACGGAGTTTGCAAGTGATGGCGGAGACTAACGACGCATCCTTTCCGCAAAACTTCCACCTTCAGGTATGTTCCTAAAAAAAACACTGTGTCTACTTCTCTTGTACCCGCTAACATAACCCGTCAACTACTAATGGGAGCCAGCGGTTGGCCCTCTGATGAGCCGCTATGGGTGCTAAGCGGCGAAAAGCGCGCTTCAAGGCGTGCACCCCCCCTATGGCTATCCTCAAACAGCCATTCCTAACTTTAATCACTTACTCTAACTACTGAACTGCTCCCCCCTAACACTTACAAAATCCCCCACACATCCTCCTTGTCGAGTTGATGGCTGAAACACACCACCCATGTTAAACTGCTGCTAACTATCCGCGGTATGATAGATTTACGGCCCTTTGTTTCCCGTTCTTTACGGGGTGGCCGTGTTTTCACTGGGAAGACGTCCTTCACGACGTCAACAAATATGCGCAGTCATGTGTCGTTTGCCAGCGCAACAAAGGACGGCATCAGCTTCCTTATGGCGAACTGAAACCAATACCGATTCCACAAGAACCTTGCCTATCCATCGCTATGGATGTTACCGGCTCGTTTCCCCTCGATCGCCTTGGTCATGATGGCGTTCTCACAGTCGTTGACTGTTTGAGCAAGTATGCCAAATTTCTTTCTTGCAAGTATCATACTGCAGCACCCGAGCTCGCATGACTCTTGCACACCGGCTGGATTTGCAACCATGGTGTTCTGGAAGACATCGTGAGCGACCGCGATACTCGCTTCATGTCAACATTTTGGACATGATCCCTCATGGTTGAGTCCGACACAAAATGAAGCTGAGTTCCGCTCGACACCCACAGACGGATGGACAGACGGAGAACACACATCAAACCGCTCAGATGATGCTCTGTACTCTCATCCGTCCGGACCAGAAAGATTGGGTTGACCGCTTCCGCATATGGAGTTCGCCTACAACACTTCGGTGCACCCGGCGATCTGTGTGACTCCATATGAGTTGCATCACGGTGGACGGAAAGGACGTATCTTCGCTGATCTTGTTCTTCCCCGGGCCGCTGACATCTACGTCGCTTGCTCTCCTGCTTCCATTCGGAAGTACAGGGCTTTGCTGATCAAAGCCCAAGCAAAGATGCAAAAGGCTCAGGTCCGCATGCAACAGCAAGCTAACCGACGTCGTCTCCCATGTCCTTTCTGTAAGGGTGACCTTGTCTGGGTCCTCGCGAAGGAATTCGCGATTGAGCAGGATGTCTCTCACAAGCTCCTCCCCAAATGGTTTGGACCATGGAGGGTAACTTCAGCAGCCGGCAATGATCCTGCAGGCCCTTCCTTTGTGATCAACATCCCGCCGCACCTCACAGTGCACCCGGTCTTTCATGCATCGAAGTTGGCGATTTACACACCACCTTTGACTGACGAGTTTCCAGGCAGACGATCACAAGATCCGCCCTCCATGGACGGGCATCAGGAAGTTGACCGTGTCATCACGCACCGCAAATACCGCAACAAACCAATGCAGTACCAAGTCACATTTAAACAATGTGACCCTGATGACACTCGCTGGACCTCCCGAGCAGATTTACAGTCATCTGCAGCACTCATCTTCTCTTAATACGAACGACGGGGACTTGCCAAGGACAAAGTTCGTCCCTCCCGACCCACCCAGGTACCGGACAGACAACTTCGCCCTCGCAGGTAGCTCGGTCTTTTAAGGGGGGGAGTGTGTTACATACTGGATTCCACACGGCCCCTGTTAGGCCCGACGGCTAGGTCTAGGGGGGTATTCCAGACCGTGGCCATGCTGGGACAGCCCGGCCTGGGCTAAGAGCCGGACATTGGGAAAGGCCGAAGGTAGGCCCCAGCAAACCGGTTCAGACCGGGGTCTGCGGCAGCAGGCCCTAAAGTGGGAAACCGGCTCAAACATTTCCGTTTGAGCCTGGCGGCCGAACATTGAGGCTGCCACTTTCCCGGGGGTCCGATCTGAACCGTCCAAAGCAATCGACGGTCCAGATCACGGCGCGG